AGCAGAGACATCCTGGTCTTGTTTCTGATCTTAGGGAGAAAGCTCTCAGTCTTTACCAGCATAACACTCACTGTGGGTATTCACAGATGCCCTTATTAGGTTGAGAATGTTTCCTTCTCTTCTTGATTTATGGTTTTTATCATGAAAGGGTGTTGAATTTTGTCAAATGCTTCCTCTGTATCTATTAAGAATGTCACATGGCTTTTTCCTCCTCTATCCTATTAACATGTTGTATTATATCGATCCATTCTCATACACTGAACAACAACAAACCATGCATCCCCAGGATCAGCTCCACTAGGTTTCAATGTATAAATCTTTCTATGAATGGGTAGATTTGGCTTGCTAGTGTCTTGTTGAGGATCTTTACATGATAGTCATAAGGGATGTTGGTCTATAGTTTTCTTTTCTTGGGATGTCTTTGTCTGGTTCTGTTATCACAGTAAACTGGCCTCACAAAGTGAGTTTGGAAGTGTTCCTCTTCTTCATGTTAGAAGAGCTCATGAAGGAATGGTGCTAATTCTTCAAATATTTGGGATGACTCACCAGTGAAGCCATCTGGCCCTTGGCTTTTCTTTGTTGAAAGTTTTGTAGTGTGAATTCAATCTCTTTGCTTGCTACAGGTCTAGTCACATGTTCTATTTCCTCTTCAGTCAGTTTTGGTTACTTGCGTCTTTCTAGGACAATGTCCATTTCATCGGGGATGTCTTCATTTGTTGGCATCAGACTTGTGCAGAATACTCCCTAATAATCTTTTTTTCCCCTGTCATGTTGACTAATGTCCTTTCTTCCATTCCTGATTTTAGTCACTTGAATCCTTTCCCCTTTTTCCTTGTCGATCTAGCTAATGTTTTGTTAACTTTGTCGATCCTTTCAAAAAACCAACTTTTGGCTTCATTGATTTCCCTTTTCATATTTCAAGAAGAAGATGAAAGAAGACGATGTGATAGAGATGGGATGGGGGGAAGACTGGGGTGGCGTGAGACAAGGCTCCTCCACACTGTAGTCAGGGAAGGGCCTGCTGAGAAAGTGGCATTTGGGCTGAAATTCAAATGAGAGAGGAGGTAGTCACAGGACACTCTGGAGGAGGGGTGTTCTGGGCAGAGCCCAGAGATGAGATGAGCTTCAAGCGTCAGAGGAGCAGAAGGAAGGCCCGTGGCTCCTGGATCCGGTGCCTGAGGCAGTAGAGGGAGCTGAGGGCCTGTGCACAGACAGCCTCCCAGGCCACAGGAGGCATGGGATTTTATTTCTAAGTAGACCGGGAAGTCACGGCCAGGGTTTTAAGCAGGCGAGGGGTGCAAGCTGATATTTGTAAAAGATCACTTTGGTTACAGAGTGGAAAATGGAGCAGATGGGGCCAGAAGAGAAGACAATGAGACAGGAGGCCACTGAATAGTGCCAGTGAGAGGGAACAGCACACTCAATGAACTTGGGGGCCACCAGTGGACATGGGGTGAAGGCAGCAGACCAGGGCTCTATATCGTTGGAGGAATGAACAGGACTTGCTGGTGTCCTGGAAGGTGGCAGGAAGGGGTTGGGGCAGTCAAGGAAGACTTCAGAGGTGGGCTTAGCAGCAGAGCAGACAGCAATGCCATTTACCGAGCACAGGAATGTTGTAGGCGCAAGGGACGTGGGTCGTGCAGGGGAATGAAAGTGTAGGTTTCAGATCTCTGAAGTCTGGGATGCCCAGTAGGCATCCGAGAAGGGACTCCAAGCAGGAAGTTGGCATTTAAATCAGGAACTCAGAGAAGCAGGCCAGCCCTGGCATATCCATCTAGAATCATCTTAAAGCCATGGGCTTGGGCAAAGCCAGTAAGAGACGGTGTGGGCACAGAGGGGAGCTGAGTTTGGACTGAGCGTGGGGCACCCCCAGATCTTCTGGCAGTCCCCTGGGTCTCCTGCACTGAAGCAACTTCTCTTCTGAACCCAGACTCCACTTTCAATTATGACCACATTTCAGCTGAGCTCCCTGATTCCATGGCAGTCTGGCCTGGGGCAGAAGTCACCAGTCCTTCCCAAGACTTGGGCTCTCATGTACCAAATGTGGAGAGCAGCCTGAGGTGCACGTGAGGATCGCATGAGGGATGTCGAGGGCCCCGGCGGGCAGACTGTGGGTCTACACCCCAGTGAAGCCCGAGAGGCTGTATGTGCTGGTAGTCCCGGCCCTGGTACACAGGATGGCCATCAGGGAGACTCTGTGCCAGGGCCGCAGAGGGAACCGGCCTGCCCACAGCTGTGCCCTGAGATCCAGGAGCCCAGGAAGGCATGGCTGCCTCCTGTCCCAACCTCAGGGCCTCAAAGTTTAGACCCCAGCCTCCCCAACATCTGGGCCAGACCCCTCCCTGCTGTTGCTTGGCAGAGCTCACCAGCCTCTGCTAAGCAGAGGAAAAAGAACAGTAATCCTAAGAACTGGCCCCCATCAGGGGACACCTGGGGGGCTCAGTCGGTTAAGCGTCTGACTCTTGGTTTCAGCTCAGGTCATGATCTCACTGCTTTGTGGGTTCGAGCCAGATCGGGCTCTGTGCTGTGAGCGAGGAAACTGCTTGGGATTCTCTCTCTCTCTCTCTCTCTCTCTCTCTGTCCCTCTCCCATGCACGCTGTCTCTGTCTCTCTCAAAATAAATAAATAAACTTAAAAAAAAAAAAAGAACTGGCCCCCATCAAATCCAATGATGGTTTTTACTGCCCCAGGATGCTCCGTTCTGTGCAGCAGGCTTCCAAATTGCTGCTGCTCAGTGCACAAGGGGATGGGAGGGGCGGGAGGGCCACTCACATGGGTGCCTACAGACTCGAAGCAGAAGCAGAGCAGGAAACGCAAGGCCTGAGCATCCCAGTGGCTGGGACCTACAGAACCTGTTTCAAAGTCATGGAGCCGCCGACCTTAGAGGGCTGTCACCACCCGGTCTAACCCCATGGACGAGGAGTGTTTCTCAGTGACCTAGCATCTACCCTGCCTTCCTTTCAGTAGCAACCCTGAGTTTCCCCCGGAGAGAGTTTCTCCCTGCCCCGCTGTGGCATCTCGGTGTCACTGGCATCAAGGTGCCCTGCTTTCCCTGCCGGGTTCTCCCAGCAGCCTTCCTCTCCTGAGACTGTGTTATCTCCACAGGTCGGCAGGATGGCAAGCCAACTAACACACACTGTCCCCCTTCTAAAAAAAAGAAGGCCACACCCCGTTGGTGCTCATGCACCTTGATGCTGCTCAGAACCCCATGACCGGGGGATCTGTCCTCTCCCGGCCTGGGCGACAGCAAATCTACCAGTCACCCAAGACTTGCAATAAACTCCTTTGTTAGAAATTTGCTAACGTGAGCCAGACTCCGGGTTTCTTTTGCGGCCAAACAAGAATCCTATGGATAATCCATGCCCTCCAGTTCTATTTTATGGGGGGGTGGGGGGGGTGCAAGGAGCAGAGAAACTGATTCTCAGACAAGGCAGGTTGCTGAAGTCAAAACCAGAATGTGAATCCCTAGAACTGAGGATTTCAAAGCTCTCCTTTCTTATTTCCCCTTCTTTAAATGGGAATGATATCTATTCTTAATGGCATTAATATTATCACTGATAATAACAACAAATACAACAAGAGCTGATGTTTTGGAGCCCTTAGGAAAAGCCAGGCATGGCACTAAGCTTTTTATAGTTTCATTTGGTCCCCACAACGCCGTAGCAAGGTAAGTTCTATGATTATGCCCATTTTACAGATGAGGACACTAAAGTAGAGATTAGGTGGGTTGCCCGTGCTCATGAGGCTGTAAATGGGAAGCTGCGAACACAGGCCTTACTGCTTCTTGAGCCCATGTACCTGCTCGGTTTAAATAAGGTTATATGTATGACAGCCCGTGCCTGGCGCTAGGCAAGACCTAACCGTGTGGTAGCTGCTTTCATTTCCAATATACTTTGTAATTTGTTCTTTGCAATAGATAGTACAGCTACTTGGCAGGCAACTTAAAAGGTGCCAACGAGGCCTCAAAGGAGGTCCTCCTATCACCTCTGTGCCCAGTTCTATGGCCCAGAGGCAAAGTCTGTCCCCAGTTCCTGAGGCCCTTCCCGGAGGTGATGCACAGCATAATAAAGCCAATGCTGCCGGGGAGGCTGCCTCAGCCTAACGACCCCCCACCAGTCTCCGTGCCCTCAGCCTAGTGTCCCCCTCAAGTCTCCATGCCCTCAGCCTAGCGCCCCCCAGTCTCCATGCCCTCAGCCTAGCGTCCAGTCTCTGTGCCCAGCTTACAAGTGGAAGGAGGAGAAAATGCCAGCACTCTTCCTTCCTTCCTTCCTCCCTTCCTCTCTCCCTGCCTTTTTTGAGTGTTAGATATTTAAAGGACAGGAACATTCGGGGCACCTGGCTCAGTCGGTTGAGCATCTGACTTTTGATTTTGGCTCAGGTCATGATGCCAGTCTCCCTCTCTGCCCCTCCCCTGCTCGTGCACGTGCATGCTCTCTCTCTCTCAAAATAAATAAATAAATAAATTAATTAATTAATTAATTTTAATTAATTAATTAATTAAAGGACAGGAATGTGCGATATTTGTTGGGTGTTCTTGCTGTTTGTTGGGAAGTAGGACTCGGGGGTGGGGGTTCTGTGGGCATGGGCCCCGGGCCAGGGGCATGGGCATGGGCCCATGGGCACCCTACTACCTTCCGGCGGTGTGACCTTGACCAAGTCAATATTCTTCTCCACGCCTCTGTTTCTTCATCGATAAAATGAAGGCATTGACCTCAATGACCCCCAAGGTTCTATGTTTGGTGGCAAATGTGGCAAACTGCAGGGTGGATAAAAGGGGGTGACTCGGCTCCTCTTTGCCCCCTGTCTCCCAAGAATAAGCCCAGGGATTTGGGAATGAGCTGGGGGCCCTCACCTGCACCTTTCCCTCAGGCTCCTCCCACTCGGCCCAAACGAATGACAGCGGACGACTACATTCTTCCCCTCACCCCCACCTGCATCACAGGCCTATCGTGGGCAGAGAAAATGCATCACAATACAAGGCCAAGGCTCACTCCACTTACAGCTAAGCTCCTATTGACCAGGTGGCCCAGGTCCCCGGGCACGTCCGTGTTCCGGATATCCACGTCGTGGGGTGACACGTAAAGCTTTGTGCCGTGCCGGTCAAAGAACTCAACTTCCGTGAGACCCACCCAGGCTGTGTGGCCCCAGTTGGAAAGGATTTCCATGGTCACGTAGACGGCATCTTTGATCACGCCGCCTCTTGTTCTTGGTTTGTCCTTAACAAAGACAAGAATAATGCCAGAGGATCAAAACACGACAGGCTGGATTCAGCTTACCACTAACCAAGTGGTTTTGCCACTTGGTGCCTCAGTTTCCCCATCCGTACAATGGGATAAGAAGACTGCCCATTACATACAGTGATTACAAAGATTAAATGAACTCATATCTGAAAAGCATTTAAAACAGTTACTGTGAATCCTGAGAGGTGGTATTTCCCATAAGAGTTTGCAACTGACAAAAAAATGTTTAAAAGGCATCGGATTGTGCCTGAAGAACTCTTTTCTTCCTCATCACCAAGTGTTCATGGCCTATAGGCTGAGGTGGGGAAGGTGTTAGGGGCTAAACTGTGTCCCCCCCAGAATTCAGATGTGAAAGCCCTAACCCCCGTACCTCAGAATGTGACTGTATTTGGAGACATAACCTTTAAAGGGGTAATTAGGTTAAAATGAGGCCGTGAGGGTGGGCCCAAATGCAGTGTGAGCCACGTCCTTATAAGAAGGGGAAATCTGGGGGCATCTGGGTGGTTCAGTTGGTTTAGTGTCTGACTCTTGATATCAGCTCAGGTCACGATCTAACGGTTCGTGAGTTCGAGCCCCATCTGGGGCTTTGCACTGATAGCATGGAGTGCTAACTGCTTAGAATTTTATCTCCCTCTACCCCACTCGTGCTCCCTATCTCTCAAAATAAAGAAATAAACTTAAAAAGTTAAAAAAAAAAAAAAAGAAGGGTAAATCTGCACAAGAGAGACACCGTAAATACTTATGCACACAGAAAAGACCGTGTGAGACACAGCCAGAGGACGGACACCTTCAAGGCAGGAGAAGAGGGCTCGAGAGACACCAGGCCCACTCACACCTTGACCTTGGACTTCAGCCTGCAGAACTTGAGAGAATACATGTCTGTTGTTCAGGCCACCACCCCATCTGCAGTGCAGCCACCCCAGCAGATGAATTCAGTCTGAAAGACAGGACCTTGGATGAGTCACTTGACATCCCTCAGCCTGCACCATCTCTCTGACAATCCTGTCACGGAGACTAAGTGAGATACGGACACTGGGAAAGACCCTGTCACGGGTCCCGGCGCCGGTGTGCGCTCCCTAAGTGTCCACTTCCTCCCATTTCTTCCCTTCACTGATTTTAGTGCTGCCTCTGTCGCAGGCGGGCTGTCGGGTCCAGGCCGCGTGAATGCCATCGATAAACAGCCACGCTGCGGAATGGCTTCCTGAGGCCCCTTCGGGCCCCGACTGCAGTGCTGGTCGCCACGGATCAGTCCCTCATAAAATGGTGCATTCCCTGCGTGCACATGCCCTCTGTTAATTAGCACTGGTAATCTGCAATGGTTCTCTGAGCGGGGAGTTGAGCAAATGTACAGCAACTGTTCCCTACTTATTTTTTTAATTAATAGCCAGCGAGATGTGCTATCGGTCTCAGCGTATGTTTGCACGCGCCTGGATTGCCACACGATGGGGATGGGGATGGGGACGGGGAGGGAGGGAGGTCAGCTCCCCAGCTCCCAGAAGGAAAACAGGGCCCGTAGCCGCCGCCTCCTCCACGCGGAGTCCCTCTGCCGCCCTGGGCCTGAGTCTCAGACTCACAGGACCATGATAAACCTACCCGGCCTCACTCAAGCAGGGGGTGGGGGGTGGTTAGGAGGTTGATGAGCTTGTGCTTGTGGCCGGGTGAGTGGGGGGGGGGGCGTGGAGAAGTGGCCCAGTTCACCTTGGCTCCTGGCAGCACGGGGAGGTCCAGATGGGAGGCGAGCTGGCTCGCAGACAGGCCACCGGATCCCGCAGCCCGTGTCATCCAAACGTGCGAGGTCCTGTGGTGGGGCTTCTAAACAAAGGGGCTGGAGGGTCTAGTAACCAAGGAAGTGTCACAACTGGCCAGTATCTCGAGTCGATGGCCACCCCTGCTCCTGAATCGCTTGATTTAGGGCCCCTCGTGGGGGTCTAAGCCGCTGGCTGGGCAGCTCACGGTCTCCAGCATTCCCTGCCCCCCCCCTCATGTCTTTTCTCAGCCATGGCGATGTCGTAGAGGGGGGTGGACCTCTCTCACCCCAAGGGGGAACACGACTGGGCCAATGAGCTACTGTCTCCTGAGCTACTGGGGAGCGGGGGGAAGGGTGGGGGTAGCTCTGTGATGGGCAATCTCAGTGACCCAATCTCAGCTCTGTGCATGGAAGAAATGTTCTTCTCTCCTGACTGTAGGGCCCGAGGCAATGAGGGTGAGGGGTGGGAACCACCCTAGCTTTTGAGTGTTCCTAGGGAGACAGCAGAGCTGGGCCTGGGTGCTGCAGGGGGGACGGAGCTCAAGGAAGCAGCTGGCATTGTGGAGACACAGCGTAAGCTGCTGGGTCAAGCCCTACCTGCTCTCCACTGTGGCATTTATTACAACAGTCTATCATTTCCTTCCCATCGTTGTAGAAGTCTGTTTGCCCTGGGTTTTCTGTTTCCTATAATGAGACAATCAACCCAGACTCTTTTTCATGTGGCAGAAGCTTTATCCACTTAGATCCTCACGGCTGAGAAAGGTACTGTTCCATGTGGGTGGGGGCAAAGCTTTGACTCTTCTATATTTTTCTAGATGTCAAACTTTCAACTGATATTTGCTGGCTCCTCCTTTCCCTGTGCCAGGCATTGAGGTGCCTGCCCTCACAAAACATTTTGTCCTCACAGCAGCCCACAGGCGTGGGGCTACCCAGGGTCAGAGAGCTTAAGAGGCTTGCCCTTTAAAGGACAGTGCCAGACTGAGAGCCAGACTCTGGTCTAGGCTGGTACGGGGGGGTGTAGGCTGGTG